TGTACAAGTTGGGTCAGTTATAGATCTAATGTTAGACTTAGCTTGTGTTTAGTGTTTGTACAAGTTGGGTCAGTTATAGATCTAATGTTAGACTTAGCTTGTGTTTAGTGTTTGTACAAGTTGGGTCAGTTATAGATCTAATGTTAGAATTAGCGTGTATTTAGTGTTTGTACAAGTTGGGTCAGTTATAGATCTAATGTTAGACTTAACTTGTGTTTAGTGTTTGTACAAGTTGGGTCAATTATAGATATAATGTTAGACTTAGCTTGTGTTCAGTGTTTGTACAAGTTGGGTCAGTTATAGATATAATGTTAGACTTAACTTGTGTTTAGTGTTTGTACAAGTTGGGTCAGTTATAGATCTAATGTTAGAAGCAGCGTGTATTTAGTGTTTGTACATGTTGGGTCAGTTATAGATCTAATGTTAGAAGTAGCGTGTATTTAGTGTTTGTACAAGTTGGGTCAGTTAATGATCTAATGTTAGACTTAGCTTGTGTTTAGTGTTTGTACAAGTTGGGTCAGTTAATGATCTAATGTTAGAATTAGCTTGTGTTTAGTGTTTGTACAAGTTGGGTCAGTTATAGATCTAATGCTAGACTTAGCTTGTGTTTAGTGTTTGCACATGTATAAAGCATCAGGCCTAAGACAGGGACTAATAAGTTAGAAGATGGATTCATTTTTGTTATTTCTATGTCTTAAGAAAATGGTAATTACTTAATTTTATTACAGATTTTTGTATCTATGTTTGAATTTCCTGAGTTGAAATGTCTGTTGATGTTGTTATTTTTCGAAGAAATTCGTTATTTCTCTATGTCGTCTAGCAATCCTTCTGTGTTAAATAATGAACACATAAGAAAAGATTTGTGTGAATCCCAAGGAAAGGATCATTACATGTAAAAAATCTTCCAGTTTGCTGGTTTCTGACGTCAGAATCTTAGCATCATTCTTATATCGCGGATGTTACACTTTTACCCAATACATCTTTTGTAAACAATATCATTTACGGTTATTGTTGCTTAGTATCTTTGATTTGTTTTAAAAGTAGAAGAATGATGCGTTCTTATTTAATATATTCGATCAAGTTTGGTAGAGATGAGACATCTCTTTTAAACTCTATGACGCATCATAAAGTAAAAAACTAAATCTTTATTGTATAGTCACATATTCTGTTTAGAAATTTACCTATTTAAGTAATAATAATAAGAAACGTTTCGTAAAAATATTTATATGCCACTTTTATCTCTTTTTATTGTCATTATATTAATTTATTTTCCTAATGTTATTGCTGACACAATTATAGTGAAAGTTCATTAAATTAAAAAGAAATGTAAAAAATTACCTTTGTAGCAATTACTGTTTTCGGGTAAATCACAAATATTGAATTTTGTATTGAAATGCAGGTTTAAAGGGCAGTTTAATTCAAGAGTTACACCGTAACTGCAATGGTAGAATTTCTTACAATCGAAAGGATGCGGGAGGTAAACGGGTTGTCCTTTCTTTAACTGTGGATTATCTGGGTGTCGTATTTCTCCACAGTCGGTGTTGTTAACACGTAGAATGAATAGCACGGAAAGAAGTGTTGAGAACCGCCTCATATTTTCAAACATGCTGGTGCAATCTGTAAAAGATTAATGTTAGTTTAAATATAACTTCGCAGATGTCATGACGGACTCAAAATAACCTACTTAGTTTCCAATCGATCTTCCGAGTATTTAAAACCACAATTTTCGGTGTGTTTAGAATTAGTAATCTTGTTTTTACACGATCCTATGCAATACTGTTTTTGGTTGGAGAAGTATAGATTTTTTTTTTATTCCTGTAAACTCCCAGTGGAGCATAGGGCCGCAACAACACCTCGCCAACGGAAGTTGTTGTTGCAGTACTGGTTTTTTACGGGGTGGAGTTGCTAGCCCCACGCCCAACCCTCCTCCTTTCTCATCCTGGACTTTGGACCAGGCAAAGGTGGAGGTTCGGCATGTTTGGTGTGACGGGGATTCGAACCCGCAACCCCCAGATTACGAGTCGAGCGCCCTAACCACCTGGCCATGTCGGGCCTGAAGTATAGATTACTTAGGACTAATCGGAAGTAAAGGACACAAGAATGACGAGTACTACTGGTTGGTGTTGGATACAAATGGTTCAAATGGTACTAATGGTCCAATACAATTATGTTAGATACAAATGGTTCAAATGGTACTAATGGTCCAATACAATTATGTTAGATACAAATGGTTCAAATGGTACTAATGGTTCAATACAATTATTAATCTATAAATATTTCTATCTTTCCTTTAAAAACAATATAATACCAAAAAGAAAATTTGAACCGCACAATCAGAAACAATGCAAACTAGAACAGGAACAGACTGAATTTCACTGAAAAAAATGAACAGAGCCATCGTCTTGTGAAAACGACTGCAGATAGCAGATAAATGTTAATTATGAAACATAAGATGAATCTTTCTCTGTGGTTGAAGCGGACAATTTGATTGCAAAATGTGTTTCAATTAAAAAAAAGAATTCTATTCCAAATTTTGTAGTTTTTTTGTTGTTGTTGAAGTATATCATCCAGTTGTTAGTTAATATAAATTATCCAAGTTCAAAATTCTGTACACTAGAACAATATGAAACGTTAGCATAATATATGAGAACAGTGTAAAAAAGACAAAACAGAAAATGATCTAATATTGCTTGGTGTGAAAAGATCAGGTTGAACTTGAACCTGAACAGTTTACTCTCTCACCAAGTGTACTTCCTAAAAAGAAATTTAATTTTTATATGAGTATCAGGAACGAATATATATATATATATATTTAAAATACTTACGAAAGTTACTAGAATGTACACGTTCTCTGTGTCTTTTTTCTACGACTTTTTTAAACTCTTAGTTCATTTTCCTCTCTTTTATGCAATCCTTTTCTGGCTGCCAAATAAAGTCCAACTCGTGGCATCATAGAGACTATTTATCGGAATAGATAAAACGAGGGAACCCAAGGTTTTTTTGGAATTTTAGCAGAGTATCGTGATCTCAATCTCTAGACGGACTGATTACATCAATCATTTTCACGTTACGAAAATTCAACACAAACGCAGTATCACTTATGTTTATATAATCTTGAAATATCGCAAGATTTCACGAGAACCAGCCGTTCTTCTCTGACGTTATCACCGCCTTATTTTCTATCTTAAAACGTTCTAAGATTATCTCAAGAGATTTTGCATAAGTTTATATCATACGTCATAATTTTCAGTGATAAAATCCTTCATTTAGTACTCACAAGTGTTTCGAAAGAATTGAGCAATTATTTCAAAAGCTTACAGAACTGTGATTAACGCTTGTTGAGAAAAATAGATAAACAAATCAAAGCTAAAAGTTGATAAGAGGCAAGTTTATACGACGTTAGCATTAGTTGCAATACAATGTCAAATAAAAAGAATTACAGGTGGAACAAAATACCTATTTATTGGCTGGTAGATTATCAAACGGAATGTCCTTTCTTCTTTGTGATCTGTCTAGGTATAGTACTGACTGTTATACAATACCCTGCTTATAATCTGTAACTCGACATCTCAACTCACAGTAATTCCAAACACAAGACTTGTAACATTACATTATGCCTATAACAGAACACGTGGTAATATCCCATGTAACAAAAATAGCGAACATACATATATATATACCACCCCTTCGTTCAGAAGCTTTTCGTCCTGTATATTACCAGTAACTAGACATCTCCATGTTGTTTCCACCCTCTAGTAACGTGGTGTACCCAAGTGTCCTCTCCAACTGATGATCTTGTCCACCTACCCACCTTTGGTACAGCTTGAAGATCTAAGTTATATTGGTCATTGATCCCAGATTCCATGTATTCATCTGTCTTAATGTTACAGACAACTAGGCTGTAAGTGATTTATCACTGGGATTAATTTTAGATTTCTGTATTTTTTAATGAAGAAGTGTGTTTTTTGATACATTAAACGTATTAGTGACTGCACCAAAAAGAAGATTTTTCTGTGAAGTCTATAAGTTTGGAGATAGTAAAAGGGCTTTGATTATTTCCATTTTATCTTTTTAAGGTCTCAAAACAACAACGACAACTGAACCAGCAACCGTTTGTCCTCCCAAAAACGGGAAATTTCCGGTTTTTCTCCCTCACACAGAAAA